TAAAAGAAGTACCGCAGCCTTCTTATTCAGGGCTCCAGTGCGTTCTGACTAGAATTATGATTTATTACAAAAACTAAGAAGCACCGGAGCCGAGATCTGGTGGGTTCCGGCCCAATTTAAGTTCTGATCGTAGGGGGGGGGGATTCTTTTATCATAAAAAAAAAATTAAATATACTTAAGTATCAATGATGAAAATTCCAGGGTGAAACAGAATGAGGGTATGAGTGGGTGGAAACAAAAAATGAAGGGAATCTTGGTGAGAGAGAATGTTCTCTTTGACCGCGGCTCTCTCTTGATATAATTGTAGCCATCAAGCAGATGGGTGTCAGAGGTAAATGAATCGGACTCCTAAATGTAAAGTTGCTGGTTACGCTTCCCCCCCCCATTAGTGGATACTGTGGGAAGACGGTGTATATTGGACGTGCTTGAGCAGTTTATCTCAGTATTTCACTCTTATTGTACTCGCTGTCACTTAACGCACATTTAAGAACACAAATTTTAATTCCTGCGAGGATAACTAACTGTAAGCATCGGTAACAATACACTAGATACAATGACATGGCAAGAAATTTAGGCGTTCCTAAACAAACTCCCCCAAATTTATTGCTTTTGAAAGGAAAAAGGTTTCCGCATGTGGTGAGGGGACTTTACTTGAACGTCTCATGTTCTCATGAGTTCGTATTTCTAGGGAAATAGAGTATTGCAAGGTCTGCTTATTTTTAAACTAAAACGTTAGGAATTCTAAATTTTTTCCCTTTAAATTGTGGTTCAGCTTTATAAAAAGAAGTACCGGAGCTCATCTTATTAAGGGCTCCGGTGCGCTCCGGCTAAAATTGTAATTTATCTTAAAAATTGAGAAGCACCGAAGCCGGGCTCCAGCGCAATTTAAGCACTGTTTATTACGCATCATTGAGGGAAAAAATTTCATATAATTCATTCTCCGTAAAATTTTATTTGAAATTTAAGGTTGAAAATAGCTGTGGCAATTCAATATAACAAAAATCCATAAACCACATTTGGCGTTATTATCGCTCAAAAAAAAGATGCCAAATTGCAAAACACGAAAAAATATGTAAATTCGTGTATATCTTAGAAAATTTTGAATAAAAAAAAAAGTCTAATTTTTTGCAGGTATGCTTAGAAATACACCTACTTTAAGATGATGGTAAAAATTTTATAGGTTGTAATTCAAAATTGTTTTCAAAAAATTTCTAAAAATTATTTAAAAATAGAAATTTAAAAAATAAAACACAAAAAATGGGTAAATTTTATTTGGAAAGAACCTAAATTTTGAAATGTGAAAGGAAAGATAACAAAAGTTTAACAAAAAAAGATATATTAATAAAAATTTGCCTAATTCAATTAACGCTGAGGAGCTAAAATTTTGAGAGCTAATATTTTAAAAACTACTCGTACGATTTTTACAAAACTTGGCATTCTGGCATAATTTGAGTTGCAGAATCGAAATATGGAAAAATATTGGTATGTTATTTCAGAAAAAGTCCGCTTTTGTGTCAAAATACCTATGTAGAAATAGTGCTATGTATAAATCTAATATATATCTTAAGTCACGCTTTCGAGACATGAAAAACGCAGTTTGAATTTTGTCAATAGGCCCAGTAGAACGGGAGATATAGCACTGTCCCTTTTTTTTAAATTTTTTTTTTTTTTTGCAGTGTACATATAATTCTTAAAATATTTTTCTGTGAAGATTATGATAATGATTCACTTTATCTATAAAAAAAACATTTTTATCTGAAGATTATGATTTTGATTTATTTTACACATAAACAATAGCAATCATAGATGCATTGACAAACTAAAAAGATGAATTAAGAAATAAGAAAATTAATTTCTTTCACAAAGCTACACATAGTTGAATCTTTAAATTATGTATGTCCCAAATTTGAGATGGATTGCACATGCAACAAATGAACATCCTGGATATCCTGGATAACATAAATTGATTTATTAAGAGCAGCGTATCTATATAATGTAATGCTGGAAAAGGAAATAAATTTACAAAACATTACAAATAACGGAGAAAAAACAGTAGAATACAGCTACCATAAAAAAAAATGCTAGGCACTTATATACCAGGTGATTAGCAGCTGCATGAAGACATTTAACGATAATCTTTGTTAATCCCTTGATAACTGCAGCAAAACAGAATCAAAGTTTGATCCTATTCTCAAGGCTGATCCCATTTTGATAATTAAGTTCTCGGAAACAACAAAAGAAATCCATTTATTTAATTTTAAGCATAGTAAATGCCAAATATAATTTAAGAAAAAGAACTAATTTCCCCTAGACACAATTTTTTCCATTCCCTTTATTTAACAAAACAAAAAACAAACAAACAAAAAAAAAACTAGTACACACCTAGTAAAATTTGGGAGAAAGAATGAGAACGCTAATTATGCATAAAAAGTCTTGTGCATACTTTTTAGAAATCTATCCCAAAAAATATATAAACCGAATTAGTATCAAAGGAAGAGGTTAATAAAACTGGTCTAACATATTAGAAGCAGCAGTTTAAAAAAGAAGCTGAATAAATTATATATATAAGAAATATTTTCTTATGCTTCATAGAAATTAATGCATCAGAAAAAGGTCATTTACTTCACTAATTACAGTATTTAAAACTGAAAGTAAGGCCCTCCATGAATATAAGACTTTACAATATGTTTACTTTTAGGATTACTACCTAATGATTCTTTACTTTTTAGGATAAATTCTAAGAAATAAAAATGGAGGGGAATATTTGCTTTGTCTTGCATTAATTCTAAGAGAGGGAATTCTAGTTTCTAGTTTATCTGTCTTCATTCTAAATTTCCTTAAGATAACATTACCATTAGCCGTGAACGAAAGACATTGTTAGGGATACATTGCTATTTGTTTGTTTTCAGATATATCAGTGACCAGATAATGGATGCACATCTAGCGAAATCACTAAATGTGGCTGTTATAATTAGCAGTAGATATGCAGTTTATATATATATGCAGTTTATATATATAAACTATATATATATATAAAAACCTGTGTGATTTATTAAGAACTATTATTCTATATAGTGTTTTATATAGAATTTATAGTGTAATTATTCTATATAGTATGAAAATTAACCCTCTTATTCTGCAATTTCATTCATCAAAATACTTGATACTACTAGATCTTTGAGCAAAAATATTGCAAATAAATGGAGTCTTATTTACATGCAAATACAGTATTCAGTATGTCAATACCATACTATACTATATTGCAACACACAATACAAATGAGTACATAATACAGTACAAAATCGAAAATACGGACATCCATTATCCGGAATTATCTAAAATCCGGACCTCAAAACCATCAACAAAGTTTTTCTCGTAGGTTTTATACTTGCTCATTTAATCCCCCCTCCGCGCATAATAAAACATATAGAGAGTCCCGATCCTTAATTTCACTTTGACGCTAAATAAAATACCTCGTTATTGAAGAAACCATGATTTTAGCATAAATTTTTATCATCAGTAATTTGGCTCCATTGCCGCATGCGTGCTTGGCACACATCTCAAACCGAAGCATTCCACATAGATAAATTGTTGATCTCACGCCAGTCTGGCGAATCATTATTTATTATACTTTCCTTTCCTCACCGCATGTTTATCAAAACATGGCAAATTCAGTAATGACTCACGTAGCGATGGCTAAATAATTTTATGTTAGTAATTGAATAATAAAGGAGTATGGTAACCTTTTATGTTGACATTACACTTGGCGGTGATTACAGATTCATGTTAAATGCGCTAAAAAATATTGACGAGGAAAAATTTACCAAAAATTTCTTTCTATATGCTAAAAATAGATTTTGTTGATGATACTTATAGAGCCAAAAATTACATTTAAGGCTATTTGAATTAAAAATAACTGATTTTTTATTCACATAAAGCCAGAACCAGCAGCCAGAACCAGTAATGGCCGCAACAAGTCGCAGAATTTAGGACCCATACAGATAGCATCAGGAGATAAGATATATAGCGCCCGCCCTCAATACGGCTTAAGTATATGTGGGAATTTATTTATTCAGAATTCTGATAAGCCTTAAGCATGTGCAAGAAACAGACATAAGTATAATAAATAACTAAACTAACACAATTCAGGTTTGTCTCAGTGCGTGATAGAAGCAAGATAAAATTTAATGGAACAACTTGTCGTTAGTGGCCAAGCTCATGATGCATAGCCAAATATGTATAGTGAACGACAGCTAAATTTGATGATGATAGCCTCAATTTCAAAGGTTTTCGATATCGCAAAAAAAGGTGAAATTTCCAATTAACGGATTTTGTAAAGAAAGTGGAAAGCGGTAATAAAGAAGATGATAAAAGAAGTTTTGATTGTGATGACAATGCTTCTCAACATCAATTAATGAATGGCAAAAACTGCAATGTTTCTAGATCCAGAAAATACCGCTGAAGAAAGCAACAAAGAAGTTACTGAAAATGACGAATTAGTCGGAATCTCGACACAGCAGTTATAGGACTTCAACAATGTAACTAAACAAAAGATTATGTCTGTCTACAGAATTAAAAAAAAAAGGATAGCACAAAAAACGAAGCAAGTTAAACAATTTACACTGAAAGAAATGTTTAATAAGATAAACAAATAAATATTAAGCCTTTTTTTTTTTTTTTTTGTAAATTCTGATGCCCTTTAGATCATAAATACTTCATTATTTCATAAATCTCGATTTCATATTCTTAATTTTATAATTTCTACATACCATCTTACCAGATTTAAATTGATGATTTAATATCCCAAAAAATCCCAAATGTGGAATAGACGAAGTCAAGATGGGTACGGATTTTGGACTTTGTACTGTATCTCCCCATCACATTTATCTTACAAATGAGTGTTACTATTCATGAAATACGGAAACTGTGTTGCATGCTACTGTTCTTGCTTTATTCTAACAATGGCATATACAAAAAAAGTAAAATATAAAGTATATTACCTTGTGGGGGATATGCATAATAAATAATTTAAAGACATCATGAACAAACTTAGGTTGCAGTAGACGATAAAAAGATATACTCCACGGAATATCCTGGACCGAAAAAAAAAAATGCAACAAATTTGTATTATAATCTCATGCACAAAATAATTATAAAATCATGCCACATTTGATAAGAAACATACTAAATATTAATCAAGTAAAGCCTTTTTTTATGTCAACAACAAAACAATGTCTAGGCATATAGAAACTTTGAGTAATAGTAATTTTATTGCAATATAAAAGAGTCGGAGAAAAAGGCTGGCAAAAATTTTAACGTTTCTTTTGCAAAGAATGTGGGGATGAAGTTTTTGAATCCCATGAACCTCATAAAATGTTCCAGTTTGAGATTCTAAAACTGAAATCATGCTTTTTTCATCATTTGAATCCTAACATAATAAATCATTAATGTCTTACTTTAAAACCTTGGAAGCAATAATTTTATCAATGCTGAATAGAGGCATTTATTAAGAAAGCTACGCAATTATTTATACATTTAAGTTTCAGTGAAATATTATTACCAATGTCATCTCATGGCGAACCTAAGCAATAATCTTTAGTTTTCTGGAGAAAATTTAGTGTTCCAAGTTTAGTGTTTAGAGAAATAATCTCCGCCACACACTTGCTTTGATTTAAAAAATGAAACACAATTTGAACTGTCAAACAAATTATACTGAGAACATAAAGATTCAAGAATTTTATTTGGGTATTTCACTTACTGAATTTTATTACATCTTCTTAATAGAGGAATTTTAAAAAATATATCCCAAAATTATTTTTTCCATTGAATGCAGATCTCAGATTTTACTTCAGTTAAAAAAAGATATTAAATCTTTCCATTCTTTTTTATTCTTACTTTTATTCAAAGGATTCAGGAGATTCGAGAGTTTTCATATTCGCAAAAATTTATTATTCCTCCCACTTCTGCTTGTTTCAAATTATAAGTAAGACAAGCTAGCTTAATGATACCAAAAGTAAAATGAATGTTTAAATATTACAAGATGAAAAAATATACTGTTTTGTAAGATATTTGTAACATTTAATAAGGAAATTGTATTTACAGACACTTACTTGCCTGTAATTTAATAATGCAAACAACTTATATTACATTATTTCACCAATTTAAAAAAATAGATCAAAGTGGAAACTTTGAAAGTCTCACTAAAATTTTTAATTATTTCTTAGAATGAAAAATTGGTCAAAATCATGCTGGGTGAGCCTTAGACTAATTAGCAAATATTTTCTTTATACAGATATGCAATACTTAACCAAACTATTTTTTATAAGAATTGACTAACAACATAATTCAGAAACTTTTACATTCCGCTTTGGTATTTTTTGTTTCTGCAAAATAATTTGTTAAAACTTCAGAAGCGGAGGAAGTATAGATTATGATTATAAAGTACATTTTAACATACCAGCATTAAACTGCAAATAACCACTCTGTGTGGAAAAACAATTAAACTCCAAACAGCACTAGAAAGCATATTATTTAATTTATGCTAAGAAATCTTAACATGTTACATTTGTATTTCCATATCACAAACTCTTAAAAACAGAAGCAATTTAAACTCAAAAATATATTAATATATTCTGAATTGAAATTGAACTGAGTGTAAAAACAGGTGGGAAGCAAAGAAAGAAAAATCACTGTATATTATTATTCAGCTATTTAAATAATCAGTATGCATTATTTTTCAGCTATTTAATTTAATATGCTTGGAAGAAAATAACAATAATTATTATACAGCTTGTCCACAAATGTTTCCTTTATTTTTGCATGCACAGGTTGTACATAGTACCTACACTTACAAAAAAAATGTTTCAAATGATGCAAATATTTAAATTTTAAAAAAAAAGTTATGTAAAAATTACAAAATCTTATTCTTTATAAGGTCAGTTGACCAGCTCATACAGTTATAGTTTAGTAAAAGTTTACACTCATGCAAAAACGATGGCTATGTATGGACTTTTATAAATGCACAGTATACATAACCAAACAAAAGATTAAACAAGAAAAAGCAATAAAAAATAATCTTAACCCAAGGAATACTAAATCTGCTGCCTTGGCAAGTAAGAGAGTGATTAAAAATACACCTTTGGTATTGTTAGAAATCAACAGATTATTAAACATTAAAAAGTAAAATTAATTTAATATAAACTGTAACCATAAATAAGATGTGTAGGTCAAAGAAGACTTAAAAAGCTAACAATATTTGAAATATTTTATATTTGAAAAGTAAAACAAGATCACAAATGAAACATGGTCACTCATTTTTAAGTTTTTGAAAGTCCTTTTCTTTTCAATATCCAGAAATTATTGCTTACTTTTAAAGTTTTATTTGCTTATTTATCTTATTCTTGTAATTTTTCTATTTAAAAATTTAATTTGTAATTGATTTGCAACAATATTTCTGATAGATACTGATAATAATTCTCCCTCTTTGTATGTACTGGATGTATCACAGTATGTGAGATATATGATACACCACATTGTTATAACAATAAAGTTTTAAATGTCTATCACAATATTATTAAAGAACAAGAACAAAAAATAATTTAAAGAAGGATTTTTTTTTATTTCATTTGTAAAATGCATTTATGAAGAAAATATTGTATGTTTTTTGGTATTACCAGCATACTTAAGGACACAGCAGATGTCTGATATCATCAACACACAACACACTTTAGGGATTTCTCTAAGTACACAATAAATCTATAAAGTTCTAGGAATGAATTAAAAATGTTAAAAGAAAACAATTTCATTAGATTTATATTTTAATTTACAATTATCTAACACTGCATATCTCTTGACATGCTCAGAGAATATTTGGATGATCTCATGAATATCAACACTTAAAACGCTTCTTTTAATATACAATCATCTAACACTATATCTTGTGGGATGTTCACCGAATTTCTTGATACTTCATAAGATGTAAATATTTGAAATATACATTTATTCTCTTATGTTTTGCTAAATGTTTGCATTGCTCTTTAACTGTGTCTTTAAATTTAAGATTTCACTTTAATGAACATAACATGGTCTGCAAGGTGTCATAACTAGAAAGTAAAGAGACATGTCACAGTAGGTACAGCGTAGAAGGCACCTTTAACATGGCACAAAAAATCCAATACCTCGCCAAGTCTTTTCTAGCCAAATGCAATGAATGTTTTTCAAAAATTTGGTCTGTTGCTTTTTTATAAAACACAGAGTTAACTGTTTTCTTCTTAAAGCAAAAAAAAAAAAAAAAAAAAAATCCTTCCAAGGCATACTTCCTATTATAGAAAGAAAAAACACCATCTCTTTACTCAAAACTTCTAGAAGTGAGATTCTCTAATCAAATTTTCTTTGTCTATGTAGATTCCAAGGGGGTCGATGAAGGAAAACCTGTGAAGCTATTTGTTAGGATCTGTAACTGGGCAAACTCGGCCACAGGGATATAAAATCACAAGCCTCGTGGTTTCACTTGCCTAGCTGGGAGACACCTTGAGACGAAACTTCATTGGCCTAGTCTAGATGGATTGGCATAAGTCCTTGCCATAGAACAAGGCAGCCTGTGTAGTACTGGAGGGAGCAATTTTGACAACCTATCAGATCTCCAGGCATGCAAGTTCCCCCATCGTGAAACCTGGAAACTGGGAGTGGTGACCTCGCATGCCCAGGAGGTAGCAGAGGTCATACAGAACTTCTAAGTCTGCCATCTGGGACTGGGGCTCTAGGGCGGTAAGAAAATTAGCATATATTAACCTCTTGGGAAAACTTTGATTGGCAACCTGCCTGATATGGGGGTCTCTCAGTTGGGACAGGTTTATGTAGTGCTGATTGGCAGAGCATGACAGACAACTATTATTAGTATTATTATTACCTATGTAGACAGCTGTCAGTTTGCCTCTGACCGAGTTCGACATAAAGCACTAGCTTTATTAGCCTACAAGTGGCCGAGTGCTTAAGACTGCTGAATGCTGGGAGTTTGAACCAAGTTCAATCCCAGACAAAAGGGCTGGCTACATAGTTCATTTCTTGGTTTTCCTCATGTATAACATGACTGCAAGCCAATTTGCCTCATAAAGTACTCCACAAATGCATCTTTCCTCCTAGGCAGATAGCCCACATGTGCTTTGTCACGCCTAAAAATCTAAAATAACATCTGTAAGTAGGAATGACTTATTTCCAAATCACTGTCTGCCATTTCAATCCAGAGCAAGTTGCTTCTTGTTTTTCAGCCTTTGAACTCATACTAGCATACATCAGCTGCATATATTCAAGCAAAATATTACACTTAAATTCCTTTCTAAAAAGATATGAAATTTTAAAGAAAAAAGTGCAGACACATGCAAGTAAATTGTGACTATTAAAGACGTGCTTCACTATAAAGTTGTCATTAGTTATAATAAAGTAAGTTTGCTAGAAATGACAAAAAAATTCAGTACTAACACTTTGCAGATGCATAATGCGCAGGTTTATTTACTATAAATTTCTTAAAAGTATTAACACATTTTAAACTGCAATAAAGATACAGATTGTGTTTATTTATATGAGCATGAGATTATAAAATGGACTTGCAAAATTTTAAAAAGCGTAACTTTGAAGAACAAAGATTTTGGAAACGAAAATGGAGCATTGAACTCCATGAAAAATCTTCATGAATGAGCCTTTGTAGGGTTTTATTTTATCTTCTTATTAAGTTTTATTTTGAAAACACCCTCATTTTATTACCTACACTTTCCTGCCAGAACGAGTTTTCAGTTTCATGCTCTATGCGAAGTAGGGTAGAAACTATCATTCAAGTTGAGGTTTGAGCTACTTCATTCAGACAATGTGTTCTGCCTTTTGGTCTCATTGTTTGTTGCTAGATAAAGTTTTTATTTTATGGCCGCACATATTATCTGCCTATTAATCTACGCTGGCGATTTTAGCCAAGAGCCAACTACGAGTTAAATATCTGTGCAGCTTTGGCTGATTATTCAACTTAGAATTTTACTTTTAAGATAAAGCCGTAAGTGCTCGCTATTTATACGTCTAGGTGGGGCTATCTATGAATATATTTGAGTTAAAATAAAAGGTTATTTTAACCCTTCTGTTGTTGTTACTGCCCCAGAAGAACTTAGCAAATAGTCACTGCACAGTTCTAGTAGGTTCTAGCATTCAAATAACATTAATTTAGCTAGAACACTATAATCTAAACAACAAATGTAAGCTATAATTGCAATCTTTTATATAATATTTTTACTTAAAACTATCATATTAGTTTATTTAATAACATTATTCTCTTAATAGCAACATTAAATATAGAAAAAAAAAAAAAAAAAAAAAAAGATTTAGATTTCTGAAACAACAGTAAATTTAGGCAGACATGGAAAGAAAATACTTTGAATCAATTAATGAGAAAGCAGAAGCACAAGTTTATTTTACCTTGAGAGATTCTAAATACAATTTCAGAGATTTAGCTAAATAATCCACTATTGTGTCTGAAGAACCCTTTACTTTGTCCTCCACAAAAGCATGCAAGTACAATACATCCTACAAATTTCAGAAATAAAAATACAACTTCATATTTGTTCATAAAAATGGGTGCATCATTTTAAAAAATAATTATAGTAACATTTTGCATTTAGCTAATACAATAGAGCTTAACTTTTAACTACTGTGAGTGGTCTGAGAGACTGCTGAGGATATTCTAACTGTCGCTTCCACCCCTAAAAATGGAGAATGGTCCCTGTCCTTCCTCCTACCTTCCCAAACCCATCCCACAAGGTCACATATCCAGTTTGCAATTCTAGCTTTATTATGGTTTCAGTTATCATGTTTTTTACTTTTTAAGTGGTCTGGGAGACCACTCACAGTAGATGCGTACCAGTTTCAGTACACAATACACGTTATTTATCGGATGCTTGTTTTTTCTAATAGTGATAAATATGGCTCCAAATTTTACAAGAAAATGTCCTGTATATCTCACTCAAAAAGAAATTGAATATCTTGTCAACAATATTTTTTATGTAGATTACTCTGATTCTCAAGAATCATGTAGTATTCACAGCAAAAGCAAAAGTGAATCTCAGCTTTCTGCAGATGAATATCATAATTTTTCTAATGTCTGTGAACAAAATAATTTTTATGGAAAAAACACTTCAAATGGAGCAAAAAAAGAACCAAATCGGACCGTACGAACACCAAAGCATAACATAAAATTTCAGCTTCCTGGTCTGAAACATACTGCAAAAATAGACTCTAGAGCAGAGCCCGAAGATACTTGGAATTTATGTTTATACATAGTGTTCCAGTCATATCTTGATGCTACAAAACTGGAAGGAAAACATTTTATGCTTTTATTAGCTAATCAACTTATTAAATTGCATCTGAAAATTGGGATAACTTCCACTTTTTTGCCAAGGGAATAATTAAAAGAATCCTTGGACAGAAGGAAATTAAGAGATTGGATTTATCAAATCAAGAAGTAACATGTTGTCTGTGTCCACCTTGTAAGAAGAGAAAAACAGCATACAAATGAAAGGAACCAGTCAAAAAATGTGTTTTGACTGTGTATCATCTTATGATTCATCCTTGTAAAAGATGATATACTAATTTATTATTTATTAATAATTAAATTCATTGTTACAGAATTATTGTTTAATTGACAGTAATACTTAATAAAGCCACATATTTCCATGCATGTTTTAATAAAATCATTGTTCTTTAAAAACTTTATTCCTTAAAACGAAGAAGATAGTCATTTTTAGATGAATTTAACTGCATAAAATTAATGACTTATGTTTAAAATATATTGATTTAAATGAATTAGAATTCCATAAATATGCATAAAGCATCTATAACATTCCTTAAAAAGGCATAACAGTATGTATTTTTATGCGTTTCGTTCTGTGAGACCGCTCACAGTAATTATGGAAAAAAAAACAGTCACAGCATTTAAAGGTTAATATATACAACTCAACAAATTTTAAATTATACTAATAGAAAGAGTGTTTTTCAGAATAATTAATTATTGTACGTGCAGGGTAATCAAATTTTCCATAAAGTTAAATAACTTCATGAATGTTAAATGAACAAATCTACAATTAAAATGTGTCCAAGCTAAATGTGCTTGCACCATTAAACATATAAATTAAAGGTTTGACTGCAAAATAATACTAGATAATTTTAAGCAAATATAAAAAACTGTCTGTTCATATCTAACTCTCAGTCTAATCAAATGAGTCATTTTACATTCTGTTATCAAAGCCTACCTATATTGTACTCTTAATACAATACCATAAAAACTTAGCATGAATACTGGGTTAATCAATTTTTTTAATTTATATATTTCTTAAATTTCATTACTTAATTTTTTTCGTGATCTTTGCCTATGTCTTTGGAAGAGAATATAACCAAGCTTGGAAGAGATAATATACCTTCTGAGTGAAATGAATGTACTTTCAGTTTGTGTGTCCGAGTTTCTGTATCACTTTCCTGATATGGGTTGATTATAATTAAAGTTGCAGTTTCAAAACGCTCTAACTTTAAAACTACTGGTCAGAATGACTTAATATTTTACCAGAACAATTGTGAGCCAATGGGATTTTGTTTGGTCAAGAAGAAAAAAATAGTTTCAAAATGTGCCAACAGATGGCGTTTGTCAGAGTTCACATGGCTGGTTGTGGAGGTATGCACATTCCTAAAACTTGACATGCTCATGACAGACATAGCTGTGATAAAAATGCAGAGTACGTAATACTTTGCCTGAATGCTTCATCATGACTGGCAAAAAAGGATCGCTCTCTGCTCGTGAAGCTTTTCTATCAGAACGGTGATTCTGCGCTAACAGCTGTAAGGAAGTTCTGGACATTAGAAGGCATAAAATCCAGCCACACATGACCACTTGCAGTCTGCAAAAAATGATAGATGAATTTGAAGGGACCGGTTTATTTGATGTGAAATGAGGTAGAGGATGAAAACCAGTTACGGCAGTGGCAGTGCAAAATATGACCACAATGCTTTAAGAATAGATGAACAGTGATGCAGGAATCAGCAGTGTACAGGGAACTGCAAAAATGTTGGATATGCTTATGAGCACGGTGCATGTCCTCTGGAACATCTTGCGCTGTTATCCATGCAAGATAAACACATGTGCATATGTTGCTACTTGCTGACACGTGAATCGTTTGCACAAGAATTTCTTGCCCGAATGGAAGTGGACAATGGATGGCCAGCGAACATTCCATGGTCTGGTTACACCTATTTCCATTTGCAAGGTTCTGTAAACACACAAAATTGCAGGATAAAATTGGTGATCGAGAATCCATTCCCGTTACAGCCATTACCTCTTCAGTCTAAAAAGGTCACTGTGTAGAATACTGGCAGCATTTGTCATCAGACCATTCTTCAAGATCACACTTGCAGGTCCCGTTAACTGCACCCTTTTTGTCAAGCAGTATGAAACAGTTTTTCTTAACCATGTCCTTCCAGCAATTCAGCAGCATCAGTGTGTGGATCACACAAAATTCATGCAAGATGGTGCTCCTCCAGACTTGTGTGAAGCAGCTGCTCATCGCTCATAAAATCATAAGCCGCCATTTTCCAATAGGGTGGCCACCACGTTCGCCCAATTAAACCTGTGTGATTTTTGGCTTTGGGGATACCTGAAGAATGTCTCTTACATTAGGTAGATTGGGAATCTGGCCAACTTAAAGGCAAGCACCATGTACCACATTCATAGCATCAGCACAGATACCCTCCAAACTATTGTAGAATACGCCATTTTGCACTCCCAACTAGTAGCGGAACAAGGCAGAGGCCATATTGAACAACTTATGCATTAATTATCTCTAAAGTGTTTGTTTAATAAAGCTCCTCTTTTCCTCTTGTCACTATCACTGTTTTTGCTGGACACACATATCCTTTAAACTGTTCGCTGAGAACACATCTTTTCGCCTTCATAAACCCTTGGAGTCTATCATTTCCTTTCGGCTAATAACATTTCTGTGTTTAACGATTAGGCCTTAACCCCTGATAGTGCAATCTACTGGCACATTTGGGACCTATTTTTTTTTTCCTGCACCAAACAAAATTCCATTGCCTTATGATTGTTCTGGTAAAATATCAAGACATTATGACTGGTAGTATTAAAGTTAGAGCATTTTAAAATCGCAACTTATAATCAACCTGTACTTCCAAGGGTTCATCAAAAGTGTGTCCTGCTACAATAATGTCATCCAGATATACAAGACAAAGCTTCATATGGCAGTACATTACAAACTCTCTCTATTAGGTATTCAAATGTGGACGGAAGGGTGCAGAGTCCAAAAAGCCTAACTTTAAACAGCCAAGGTACTAAATGTACCTTCACTAGTACTAAATGTAGTCTTCTCATGACTTTTGGTATCAGTTTCCCCTTGCCAGAAGCAACTCTTCAAATAAAGAGTGGAAAACTCTTTGTTTCTTGCAAGAACATCTGAGGCATCATCAAGTCATATCAAAAGCTTTCTCTTCAAACCACTCTGCATTATGGGTTTCGCCCCGAAATTTGAAAGTTTTCCAAAATATCATGAATAATTGCTATTTTCTTGATTATGTTTCCCAAAATGTCACGAATAAGTGCTATTTTCTTAATTATAGCTACAAAATGCTCCTCTCACTCTGTAACTGACTTCTTTTCTTCCAATATACATCCAACAGAAATCAGATTGACCTGGAGGCTTCTTGTGTAACGAATGGGAAAGCCATCCTCCAATATGGAATTTTACGTCCATAGCCCTTAAAGGATTAATGGTATTTAAACGTGCATAGTCGACAGAAACTCAAATGGCATCATCTTTCTTGCGAACCAGTACTGTAGATGATATCCATGGACTAGAGGAAAGTTTAATAACATCATTGTTCTGCACCTCTTTCAGAAATTTTTCTACATCTTTTTTCATGAAGGCAAATGCTGATATGTCACTCAACCCACCACTGCACATGACAAATTCGTTTTTTATTATTTCAGACAGATGGCAGCATCTGTACTACTGCTGTTTAATCTACCTCCTATCTTTAGTACATCATTTAACATGTGCATTGTCAACAAAGCAGGGTCTTTCAGATGGGAGTTATTTCATTGTGCAAATTATCTTGGGTCTGTGAGATCCAACCTATCCAAATATGTAAGTGTAAGTATGGAATGAGATCAAAAGTTGCAGAATCACATTTATTGTTTCGTGAAAAACTCACAGAAATTGCTCAAAATGCCAACAACTCACTCTTCCATTTCTGGCGTTCATGCATTTCGTGAATGTCCTGTATTGCTTTTTGTGATGGCAAAAGAACTGGTTTCTCACATGCTTCGATCAACCCTTTAAAAGGTTGGATGACTTGAAATCCGATGAGTTGGAAACCACTGTTCGCACAACCATTGTGCTTTGCGTCCATCCCCTTTTGCGTCACCATAACATGAGCTGAATATCTGCCAATTCTCATACGCATACTCTGCCATAGCATTTACGAAAAGTTTTGGACAATGTTAGCAAGGTTGAAGCGATGATGTGTCATTGTCAAGGACACCATTTGCTCTGATTGGCTTTCTTTGGTACCGACTAAAAGCAAAATGCTGCTTCTTCTTGATGCAAGTTTGCATACAGATTTAATTTCTTGAAAGTGGTAGCAGATAGTCTTCATGTTCTTCCTCAATGCTTGTCTACTTTCTTCATATCTGCCTCTCATAGTGGAATGCAACCCTGTGTTCTACAATAGTTATTGCTCATCTGGATAGGTACTATCACCCCCCTCTTAATTTGTAAAAACAATTTAGAATCACCCTGCATATTTAACCCACAGCATTTAAATTTTAGTAGTGTTATAACAATATAAATGTTTTATAAAAACAAATTATTTTCCTTCTTACTAGAAAATTTCATTACATGTATGTCCAAGGATTTGAGATGGATTAATAGCATATACCGAGGTACCACTGTATTTCAAAATTTATATTTAAGTATATTTTGTTGAAAATTAATCACAAAAAAGATACTTTTTGGCATGATAAAACATGTACGCATTACCTAGCTCTGAGGGGTACTTTTGTGAGAAATTTTGTAAAGAAAATAATGCTTGTTTTACTAAGGAAACAATGAAAAGAAAACATTCCAGTATCTATCTCTTTCTAGTAGAAGCTGAACTCAGATCTTTTGGATTCACCAGATCTACAAGTCAAAATTACTATTTTTGAAAGCCTAAAATATTTTTTTAAAAAATCAGCATTTAAAAAGCACACTTACAGGTTTCATTTCAGTCTGAAGTTGCTGGTATATTTTAATGTGTTCAACTGCTTTCTCTATTTCCTCTTGATAAACTAAGCACAGCAAGAAACCTAAAACAACCAAGAACTTCAGAAAAAAAAATCATTTGCTGTATGATTTACTTACAGTTAAAATACATTGAAATTACTTCAATTTCAGTTCTTGCAAATCTCTGAAATCCTATAACTATTTTACAAAATCTCAAATAAAAGGAATGCATTTGTTTCACTATAAACATAAAATACATATAACTGAAAAGAATTCCAAACTTTCATTCAGAATTAAATCTTAATGAATTGGCAGTTAACTCAGTGTTACTTTTATTTAAATTTTTGAAACCTAAGTTGAAAATTCTTTTAATTTAATTAGGAATCAATTTGTATATTTTTTAGATTAGTACTAACCATAGGAAATCTATAAAAATATTCAAGAAAATAAGCTGCTTCATTACTTTTTCACAATAAAATAGAAGTTTCTAATATTGCTATTACAGAATTTTAACAGTGCAAAAAAAAAAAAATTGAGCTTCACTTCTAGTGCCTGCCTACTACCATATATTTCTGAATGTAAGCCAATCCATTTATAAGTCGGAGGTGTTTCTTTCCTTTGAAAATTTTTCCAAAATTAAACTGCTCATAAATTAATATGGAAAAAGAAAAATTCTACAGTGTTCAAACAGATCACCGTGATGATGAAAATGTTGCTAAGCTAATGAAATAGATGTAATATTTCCCAGTCAAATTTTAGTAAAGTAAAATACCAGATGCCAGTGGCAATAATTTTAACTCTGGGAACCCTGTCAGAAGCAAGCATATTTTTTCCATCCACTTTTTTTGTCTTGTATTTGATGTGCAGTACCTGTGCTAGTCTCTCTTTTTTTTTTTTTTTTTTTTGTGCCATTCTATTTTTTATCTGGAAGATGAGCGAGAAGACAAATTTTTATATGGCTAATTTCAAATGGCATTTGCAGAAAATTCTAACAACACTATGCCTACTTGACATTTCTTCAGAAATGGTAAAACAAGTTCAAAAGTAGGGAAAGCTGGGCACAAATGTTGCCAACATCAAATTTTTCATTTTAGTGAAAATAAAATAAACCAGCATAATAAATAATCCTGACAATAAAGCAACTTATTTGCATAAATAAGTAACTCATTTCATTTAAAATTATTTTAACTGAAGAAAAATTAAAGGGCGATATTTGGTGATCTATCGCTTGTGCCCTGCTAATGGAAAAATACCTAAGTTTTTGCAAGTTTAGCAGATCCGTATATTAGCCGACACCTGTAATTTAGGTTTAGGAAATTTTCCAAAACTTCTCAGCTTATATATAGAAACGTATGATATATTTTAATTATTCAGGTCATTCTCTCATGGTCATACAGTGATAAGGAAACAGATATGGAGAAATGGTTTGGACTTTCCAAACTAAACCTGTTAAACTCATTTTCAGAGCTATAGATACTACCATGCACTATTTTAAATAACAGACACTGGTTTTGTAATTTTAAAAAAAAAATAGAATTAATTAACAGCAAAAGTATTTTAGACACGGAATAGAATACTCTTCTGAAAAAGTTCTTGGAAAATGTATGTCACAAGTGCAAAACCTACAGTATATGAATTTGGGTGTTACAAGGCCAAATTTGGCCAATTCTCTGCAGAAGAAATGCATAAAGCAGTATTACCTGAGGTAAGATAATTAGTGTTGTAGAGCAAATGAAGATAACGCATCCTTCGACCACTGGATCAGATGGCACATTTTGAACAAAGGTTACTGCAGTAAAGATGTTTGAGATTCTTAGATCCAAAATACATCCTTATCATGTCATTATTGTGACATAACAGGAATCTGTTATTAATTGCCAAATTTCTTACCCTCTGATCCCACTAGTCTCTCTTATCAAGAGAGTTCTATGGGATTGACATTTATCAAAAATTCATGCTATCTGCGATTCAACAACCAGTCTAAAAAATGGATAGCTAAAAAAAAAGCCTTTCATTTCAAATAGAATTGCCTTACAAGCATTTGCACTGAACTTTATGAATATAGGAACAAAAGAAACATCACACATCTTATTTCATATCTCTATTAAACTTTCTTTGAATCTGTGGGAAAAAAATATATTTCTAAGTAAAGCAGAAAATGTGATTGATACCATTCTTTATGTGAAATTAAATAAGTGCATCAATTATAAATAACATTTTATATTACATATATATACATATATAACCAATATTTATAATTAGAAAACTTTTTTTTATATCCATCTGCAAGAAAATAGAAATTCAATTAAACCATGATTATTATAAAATTTTATTCAGCCTTTTTTTTTTCCCCTTAGTAATTTAAATAGTATTATCTAGACCCTTATTGCATTAAAAACATAAAAATTTGTAATACATGTATAAAGCCACATTTGATATTTTTCAAAAATCTCCTAAGCCATTAATCTCATCATTCAAAATAACAGCTTGCCTGATATAGATCTTTCACATGCATGGTTTTCAAAAATAGCTTGAGCTTTCTTAAATTTGCGTAAATGCAGACACTGGTAACCAAATTCAGCATTTGTATCAGGTTCAGTTGGATTGAAGTCACATGCATTTCTTGCCATAGAATAAGTATATTCCAGAATAGGCTTATGCAATCCAGACTAAAAAGTAATATAAATATTACAACAAAGAAATTGCATATAATCCATATAATATACATATGCATCAATAAAACATTATTATTAAATTCTTAAAAAGCATATACAAGTGAAATAACATTTTAGCTTTAATTTTATCACTAAGCCCCCCCCCTCTAATTTTCTTTTACTTACTCATAACAGAAGAAAAGTTAATGAAAGTTTAATATTTCATGATACAAGTGATAAAAGCTACATCTTAACACAAGCACTATCATTAATTATCTTTAGTATATAATTAGAAATATTCATGAAGATTCCCTTGTGCTGTGAAAACAAATCAACACTTATTAAAAGTAATGATATGCACTTTTTCAAAGATGTATAGATACAGCATACAGTAGAAGACCCAATTGCACAGCATTCAACTCATTGGAAAACTCAAGTAACAGAAATATTTTAAAATTTTAACTCCCCCCCCCAAAAAAAATAGCAAAAAAAGACAGAACTAGCAAAAAGTATATTTATGACACTATCGCCAAGGGAGCTAGCATATCTCATGAATTTTAAGCTAAACAACTACATATACTAAAAAAGAATGATATACATTTTTTAATATATACACTACCAACATTGAAAATGCAACACCAAGAATAAGAGGCCAGAAAGTGATGAAACTTGGCAAACAGAGAAAGACAGCAACGAACAATAAGTAATCTTTATTTTGAAATTATATACACAATACAGAGCGAGAACAACATCGGCTCAGTAGGTTGTAGGACCACCTTGAACGGCGATACATGAAGCAACACGTCTAGTTAAAGAGTCAATGAGACTATGGATGGTGTCCTGAGGAATGGCTCTCCTTTCCCCGACAACCATTTGCCACAGTTCGTTTTTTGAACATGGCAGTGGCAAGGTCTGCAAATTTGTTCAATCACATCCTAAATGTGTTTGGTGAGAGATCAGGAGAGAGTGTTGGCCAGGGAAGTATCTCTACACCTTACAGAGCACGTTGACTGATGTGAGTGATACGTGGTTGGGCATTATCTTGCTGATAAAGGGCATTGAGACTTCCCAAAGGTAGGGGTGTGTCCCCTTCCAGAGCACATCATCCACATATCATAGGGCTGTAGTATCCTGAATACGAACTAGAGGTGACCTGGAATCATACATAATTGTGCCCCAAACCATGATGCCGTGTTGTTGCATGGTGGGGTATTCCACAATTACTGTCGGATTGGACCTGTCTCCACATTGATGTCACACTCATACGCAACAACTATCATTGGAGAAACAGAAGTGTGACTCATCTGAGAACACAACCCTGTGCCATTCTGTCCTCCACATCGTTCCAGTCCTGCACCATTTCCAGAAAAGGGTAACTCATTCCACACTGTTTCAAGTCTATGCCACACTTCATCAACTGTATTAGCTGGGAAGAGGTGGCTGGCCAGTCAGTGGGTGACAGATCTGGAGGCTGTGCAGGCCAAGGCAGCAATCGTATATACTGTGCATCAAGGAAGGTCGGAATATGATGTTCAACATGTGGTCTCGCATTACCTTGTTGGAGGATTGCATTTGGCAGGCCTTGAAGATGGGCACAACAACTGGTCGTAAGATGCCAGAAATGTACCGATCTGCATTTAAATTACTGTCGATCTGAACTAGAGATATGCATGTCGTCAGGATATGCATGTCAGGTGCAGGGCTCCTTATGACGATATCAAATGGAAGCAGATGATGTGCGGTCCCCTCGGAGCCACAGATCGTATACAGCCATCAGAATACTGCATACAGAACTGGGACTTATCTGAAAAGATGACACAGTGCCACTCTTGTATCCAGCTTTGTCATTTGGTGCACCAGGGTTGCTGTCTCTCTCTATACTGCACTGTTGAGGGAACCTGAAGTAATGGTCACCGTGCTGATAGTACACGATGCTGCAGATGCTGACGCACCATACGAGCAGATACTCGGCCTGCTGCAAACATGTCCATTTCCTGACTAATGGTCTGTGATATGGTTATATGATTTTGCAGGGCTGACATGACACTATGTCTGTCTACTCGGGCATTAGTCACGGGAGGGCATTGAGATCCTGCATGCTGTTCAGTATGACCCTCAGAGACCCTTTGATTTCATAGTCACATGACAATGGTTGAATGTTAATCAGTGCAATGCGCAATATCACAGAACCGTAATCCATACTCTCAATAGGCAATGACCCTGCCTCTATGCAATTCCAACACTTGCTGGAAATCATTTCTTCTTACTTGAGGCATAACGTGATATTCTGAGCAAACTCCGACCTTACAAAGTACTTTCCAAATGAGAAATCCACTACACAACTTTCCTTTTATGCAGTGTTCAGATGTCGTTTCTCCTTTTTGCATCATCTAAATGCACTGAATACTAATCATTTGCATAGCCCAACCTTATCTTCCTTTCATGAGATGTTGGCGTTTGTCAGATCATTCCTTCCTGGTGTTGCAATTTTAATGGCCAGCAGTTTATATAAAGAAATTTGAGATCACTTGATACCATAAGTCTCAATGGATCTGTCAGGTGAAACATGTTTGCATAGTCTAGTTAATCAACTTGGTTAGAAGCTTCAAGCGCTTTTCCCTTGACAAGTTCTGCTTGAAGCTTTGGACACAGAAGATCAACAAAATATTTTTGTGCTCGATTTTTCAAATATTTCTAAATTTTTTCTGTTATTTTAAAAGGTTTCTTAGTTCATAATTTGTAATTTACTTAGTAACTTATTTTACAGTGTTTCTGGAATTAAGATAGGTAACTTCAGGTGTTTTTAATGACCTTTTCTAGGATTTAAAATTTCTTTATTTAGATATAGATACATTTTTTAAAAAAAATTATATTCTTTTTTAGTACCGTATTTGATGGCATATAAGATGCACTTTTTTTCCTAAATTTGGTCTCAAAAAAAGTTACCTGATATGTGAAGGACACAGTCTTATATGTGAAGGTAATTGCATTCAATAATTGTTTATTTGGCTTTTACGAAAAGTGAAGAACTAAAAGAAACCACGCTATTGAAACTTTTTTCCCTTGTGTGTGGCCGTCTAAATAAGGGTGCGTCTTATATGCCGTCAAATACGGTATATAACAGCTGCTGTGTACTACAAAGGATTTGGATATAAAAAGCAATGTAAAAAGAAAATTTTTACAAAATATCTGCATAAAATTAATTTAAAAATTCTTTGAATGTTACACATCATATATTGAGATTGCACATTTCCTTCTCAAGGCAATGTTATGTGTATGGTATGTTATATAATTTTACATTATGCCTTTGATATTCAAATTGATAACCATAAAAGATGACTTTAGAATATTAGACTAGAAATTTCTTCTCCCATTCATTTGGCTTTTCTTCCATAAACTACACTTTTATATATTCAACTATACGGAATTTTCCCTCATCAGGCATTTTGCATTTCCTGAGCTTTCTGGATAACCAAGCTTTTACTGTGTAATAATATACACTTTTAACATGTAATTATGAGAGGTGAACAATGTGCTTTTTACAATTTTGAGAAAACATTTAAGATTACAAGTTTTACTTATATATTTGTAGCACAGAGACATCTTCACAAACATTTCTAATTATGCACTAATGATAATAATGATGGTATTGATAATAACAGGGTTGCCACTCAAACTGGAGATTAAAATTCCCTGACTTTTCCAGGTTTTCCAGGTGTGTTCTAAGAAAATTCTACTTTATCCGTGTCCACGTTGGCTGTGCTGAGAGGTAAGAGGTAAATTAATTATAGTACCACTTGAAAACACAAAAATTTGCCAATTACATTAAATATGTAATATACATAAAGACATGAAGCAAGAAATTTAGAACTAATTTTTCACAAAGCCCAAAAATGGAAATTCATAATTAATAAATTTCAAATAATCCTATAAATGTAAAAAAGAATTTAAAAAATGTTAAACACCAAAACTTTTCAAACAAGCAATATCCCAATTCAAAAACTTAAAAAATTTAAAGAAAAATTAACATAACAGAAGAGGAATTCAATCAACTTCAATGCCATTTTGACAGGAGGAGGAACACTGAAATGAACAGAAATCTCTCTTCCACAAAAATCCTTGATTTCTGTATCCAGAATTAGCCAATGAACCATTTCAATGTATTTTAATTATAATAGTTCACATGAAAATTCTGGCCTCTCCCCAAAGCAAGGGGGAAAAGCAAAGTAAAATCTAAATAGAATCAGGTACCTTAAATAAAGAGAATTCTATTTAAAAAATTGAAAATGTAAGTGAAATAATAAAATACTTCAGTGAAAAATTCAAATCAAAATTTTACCTTTAAACCAATAGTATACAATCCAAAGAATTCAAAACATAAGTGAAATGATAAAACTTTAGTGAAAATTTTGATTTTAAATTTCCACTAAAGTATTTTATTATTTCACTTTCTCTTTAAATTTCTTTAATTGGGATGTTGCTTATTTGAAAAATTTTTGTTTTAAAATTTTTTTAATTCTTTTTTACATTTATAGGATTATTTGAAAATTTATAAATTACGAATTTCAACTTTGGGTCTTTGTCAAAAAATTAGTTTTAAATTTTTTACTTTATGTCTTTACTGATAATTTTTTAGCAGTTTGATGTGCAAAAATATTAGGCATGTTCATATTTTGTTTTTAAAAAACTATTTTGTAATTATATATAATCCACAAAGCATTACAACTATAATTATAATAGGAGTTGTTTTCTCCACTGAAAACTAAGATTAGAATCTGCCCAATCTGGATTAAAAAATCGCTTTTTTGCAGCTAAACGAAAGAAAGAAATCTAATGAAACTTTAAAATACATTCAAGGTATTTTATACAGTACAAAGTCTAAAATCCGGACTCGTCGGAACTTCGATGAGTGCGGATTTGAGATTTTTCCAGATATTAGATCATCAATTTAAATCTAGTAAGATGGCATGCAAGAATTATAAAATAAAAAATATGAAATCATGATTTATGAAATA